TTGACCCCTAACGGGCTTTCTAGGTAGTATGAACACAGCTACCCCTTTTATCTCGAAAACTACAACAGATATGAAAACGAAAATTAACAGTAATGAAGAACGTCCAAAAGTATTAAAAGTCACGAAATCTCTTTGAAAAATGTCCATAACTGTAGAAAATATGCATATGTAAAAACGCTGAGAGGTCAAAATGACCGCTCCAAGCGTTCTAGTGTTAACATGCATTAGACATGGGTCACCAGACCGACTTGAATAATGTGTAGGTCATTAGGAGGGGTATACGACCAACGCCCCAGCGGTTGATTACCTAGGCTTTGTAAAGTACTAAATCGGACAGCTGTGTGAATGGATTGGAGGGGTAGAACTCTCCAGTGCCTGCCGAGCGATCATAATCCGGCCAGTCTGTCGAGCCTCGATGCATGGGTCAGATTGGAAAGTGCAATTCTACTCCCACTGTCACTACTATGGTCTTATCCGTTAATTCCATGATGCACCAAGGAACATCTTGACTATTCGCACTGTGATTGAACCACCTGAGGTGACCTCACGAGCGGTGACTGTAATGACACCGGCTGAAGTCTCAGATAACGCGGTTATCGTCCCTGTTGGCTATAAAATGCCACTCTAACTTCACGCTGATTCATCTGGTCTGACGAAGCTCTTGTGTCAAGGGCGAAATGTTATCAAACAACTATACCAACCGCGTGTTACCAAATCTCGCTGAACTCATGACTACTCGATCGGTTCCAAGTATCTTCCAAGCACTTGATAGCTGCAACACAATTCCCCACTGTTTACAGTCTGTGTAAGCGTTATCAATTTTTTCTTGTAACACTGATTGGCTTTCCCATCCAGTGGTCACGCGTCCGTTTCGCTCGCGTTAATTGCTAGCTCCCACCATGCTGAGTGTCCTCCGCAGGGTAACTTTTTCCAAGTGGACTCAGACTGTCTGAAACAACCTAGGTTCTCTTGTACGAGCACATATGATCGCGCTTCTGAGACGTTATTTGAGAATCTTGTGCCCTAAGCCGGTAGATGTAGGTGTCTCGGTGGCGGGTGTGAATAACGCCGCACTTGTCCACATTGAATGGCAGCACGTTCCTCACTGACAAACTCCAGACCTTATCGCGCTCTTGCTTGAAGATCTCGCGACCGTCGAATCCCTTGATCTCACTTCACATCTTAAGGTCGTTATTGCAGAGTATAAGTTTTGAAGCAATCACGGTCGATAGATCGTTAGTGAGGAGTGGGAACAGACGCGACCTGAATATCGCAGTACATCGCACTCTACTCGAATTGGGGTAGACAAAGATTATACGGACTCTGATCTGCAGGAGCGGTTCTCAATGTACGTTACCAAACCATGCTAACACTGCACCTTCAATAAAATATTTCTAAAGATTATTAAGTAAGGCACGATGCTCCAAACTATCGAACGCCCATAAAAAATTTAAGTGAATTACATCGGTTTCCGACCCCTCGTCAACTGCTTCAGTTGAGTTGTCGAGTGCAATCAGCATGTTCGTGGTACATGGTTCTGCTGATAAAACCATACTGATAAGTCACGATGATACCATAGAATTCTAGGTAGCCCATCCGTGCATCTGCGATGGCCGCTTCCATACAAGCCCTGGAGATTACAGGGGAAGGTTTTGCCGGGCAGGAGTTAGTAGGCTTAGATTGACTCCCTCCTTGTGATTAGGAATACTTATACCCCGCTTTCACCTTGACGGAACCATATTTTCGTCCAAACAGCACTGAAACAATCCAGTGCGAAGTTTGGCTTGATGCATGCTCGACAAACGCAGTGCTTTTGTTTGTATGTCATCCTCTCCAGGAGACCCTCGAGGGTGTAAACATAGCGTCTTCTTTAACACCATTTTTGCAGTGAGTTGGACATTGACTAAGCCTGATGTTGAAGTAAAAAGACTGGAATATCGTTTGAAGTTGATTTTCGAGAAAAATTTACTAATCTGAAAGCTGTAAGGCTTTAACAGTTCCCATCCTGTGTGCATACTCACCAAACGTATTGAGTGGCGGGATTTCGCGTTGCGTTTTCTGAAGGTAATTGAAGTGTCTGTAAAGAAGCATGCGTTACGAACAGAATCGTTTCTCACTAACTCCAACTGGTGTGTCAACTTGTCTTCACGAACAAACGCATACATTATTGTGATTGCAATTAGTACACTGTCAATTTTTTTTAGTTAGGAGAGCCTTTGTTAAGGTGAGATATCCATTTCCTTCGTAGAACCGTATGAGATGATTCAGAGAGTCCGCCGCCCCTAGAGAGTCGTTAGCCGAAAGTCACTGTGTCTCTTTTGTCTTCAATCGAAATGATGCCGGTAACTTTTAGGGAATTTAACTGTTTTTCAGGACGACTAGTTTAGACTGAAGCAGCATGTCATCAGACTGGAACCGATCTTCTTGTTGTTAATAATGACAGTGTCGGCGAAGAGTGCTTCTTGGATGCAGCACCATTGCTTCCGGTCACATTCCTCCACGCAGCTACAGAGAATATTCTTATTTCCGACACTTCGCAAACAGTGAACGCCCCAATTGTTGTCAGAATTAAGATTTTTCTTTCGGTTCCTGCTCTCTACTTGCCGCTCTTTCTTACAGATGTCCGAAAAAAGGAACCAAATAAATCACGTCTATTTCATTGGCAGAACTCAGTGTCCAAGACCAAAGTTCGCCGTAATGCACTGAACTTAGGGGACACAAGGCCCGTCTCCGCATAGTTTTATCAATCGAATTGCCGACATCCCCACAGATGAAATTTCATTTATCACCGTCGTCCACGAGTTTTACCTTTATTGTGTAAGGCTGTTATCACGGAACGTTTGTTCACACGACAGTTAAGACGCCGTTATTCCTTCTGGTGATTGTCGGTCTAATAATATTAATTTTTACCGTTTTTAATCACTTGGTGGATTTTCAGCTCACTTGACGTTTATGAAAATCGCTGCAACTACAGGTAGCAACACTGCTACAATGATTGTCCGATGGCAAAACTAGACTATGTCCACAATAGTGCGGCGGCTATCACAACAACCTTAAAAGAGAAACTGCGAAAAGTTTGTGCTATTGTCTACCTTGACCCAAAAAACTAATACTGGGCGAACTCACCTACTATTGATGATCTTCGTGCTGTGTCTCGTACTACTGTGTTATATATAGTAGTCCGGCGTAATGCGATTTATTAGGGATGACTTTAAACAGCGTCTACCTTTCAGAAGTGGTAGAAAACGGTTGTGAAGGCATACCTTCCATAAGATCTCCTGTTCCGTCTTACTGATCTTGCGTCCACCTGTTTAAACTCCTTGACAGTGGATAGAAGCAATTGTCCTCTTCTGATCATAGTAAAATTTTGCTATTTTGCCCTGAGTTTATCCAGCAGAATCATAATTAAAATGTCACTTTCCGTATGGACCTGAGTGGACGGTGTAGATTGATTTATATATGGTCACCGATACTCATCCTTCAGTTCAGGACCGTGATGTACTTGCGGTATGCGTCTTGGCGGGTTTCATCACACTTTGGTGATGAGTTACTGTTACTCTTCGGCAATAAAAGTAGCACACTCTTCTTACTTCCTAGTACTCAACAAAATCAAGTTGAAATCTACGCGGACTTTTGAATACTTTGCAACGCCAGGAATTCATGTTACTAAAATAGACACCATACTTACCACGGAGGTCTACAAACATCACTCCTGGATGATGTACGTTTACTAAGCGGTCACTATAACTTGATTTGCGAAGTCATGGTGACCGCAAAGCACACTTAGTTACTGCAAAGCTTATTCCGAGTCACTCAGCGCGATAACCGTGACGAGGCTGAAGGTCTTTCAACTGGATCATTTTTAGACTGTACAAGCACCGTTGTAGCGCCGGACTTTCCAACTGCCTACTCTATGCCGACGACATCAAGGTCTGGAGAGCGATCAATACACCCGACGACTCCGCAATACTTCAAGAGGATCTGGATAAGGTGTATGCGTGGTCAGTTCGGAACCAACTCCCATTCAACACAGAAAAATGCAGAGTATTACACTTACGTCACCAATCAGCATTTTTCTATAAACTGGGTGACCATGTGCTTCACACAACTGCTGAGGAAAAGGATTTAGGAGTCTTGATTCAGTCCGACCTTGGTTGTTCAGCCCAGGCAAAGAAAGCATCGAACGTGAGCATTCGAAATTTGGGCCTTCTCCGGCGCACATTTGGACGCTTCGATCCATCCGTCTTTCCCCAACTTCTAGGTGCATACATACGACCACACGTGGAGTATGCAATACAAGTCTGGCAGCCGTGGCTGAGGAAAGACCTCTCTGGTTTAGAGAAACCTCAATGACGCGCAACGAAGAACGTGAATGGTTTAAGCCAGTTACGCTACGAAGACAGACTGAGATCGCTCAGGATATTTAGTGGTCAATATCGAAGACTACGGGGAGATTTGATTTTGGCTTATCAGATTCTGACAGACCCCAATCATACCTGCCGCCATCTGCTGGAGCTCAGTAACAACAACAACAATCTGAGAGGCCATCATCTGAAGCTGGCAGTGCAGTACAGCCGTTTGGAATGTCGACGGAATTTCTTTTCTGTTCGTGTTTGCCAAGCCTGGAATGCTCTCCCAGAATCTGTAGTCAGTGTACCCAACCTGATCGAGTTCAAAAATCGAGTTGATAGTGCACTCACTTCATTGCACTATCTCCCATAGTACAGTCTAATTTTGAGAGATCCAAAATCCATAATTTAAAAATAATTTTCCCCTACGCTTATTTCAACAGTGGATGTATATTTGGACGCTTCAAACTCAAACACTTTGCGCCATGCGAATTTCAAGGGGCAGTGACTCTTTTAACCAAATACTCCATGCCTCATGATTCCCTCCGAGTTAGAGTGGATTATTATTTTGACACTTCAAACTCGGTGAGTTGTAGCGGCTTGACGAATGCTACACAAGAAAACCGTAGCCCGGTGAGACAGAAGACGGTGGGATATAAAGATTGTCTTGAGAAAATAGCTATGTACAATAGCTATGTGAATATAGCCTGAGGAAAATGGGATAGAGTGGTGAAGCAACGAGTAACACCACGTAGGAGCACAACAGCCGGCAGCGCGCGGGCAAGATGGCGAACCAGGTTCAAAATTGCAGTCCAGTATATATAGGCTTGGGATGGGTGCAAAGTAAAACAAAATGTGCACAAGTCTGAGTGTGATGTTTGATGGGGTAAAATGTCATGGTCACTACACAGGCCTCCCCCTAGAAGGCCGAGGGACGAGGACTACGATCGCTGTTGGCTTGCAAATGTATAAAGGCAGAATCACAGGAGTTCGGTTGTATTTGGATTATTTAATCTTCTTGTGGATTGGAATGCATCATCGGTGGGCCGTCCCAGCGGGCACACCGGACTACAAAAAGCTGGATAATCCAGAAAAAGGGCCGGTAGGACCTTTCACCGCTGCTGAAAGACGGTGCGCTTGGGAGAGGTCACTCCCCCCACCGCATTCCAATCCACTGCCACAACGAAGCTGAAATCCAGTTCGTACTGGCGAGCCGTGGGGGGCCAAAACAACGAGCCAGGCACACGAGCAGCCAAGGCCAGGAAGGCGAGCCAGACAAACGACCAAGGCGAGCCAAATTGAGCCAAGCAGACCACGATCCAAAGGCCAACGTGGGCGGGCGAGACGACAAAGCGTTGGGGGTAGCCAAAGCATCCAAACGACCAGACAATTGAGAAACAGCCAAGCATTGAACGGACGGACCCAAACGTGCCTGCCTCATGACTTTACCTGATAGATGGAGGGAAAAAAAACTCGGAGACAAATTCCGATATGTACTCTGCTAACGGAAAAGCATAATACAAACGATGAGAGAAAATGAAAAAGATTCATGAGGTATGGATGAGTTCGACAAAATCGGAGAAACGAACAGGTTTACGAACTCTTCTACCGTGACTGGTATTAGTTTGAGGCGAATCTGATGATGACTGGGATTGTGGTGGAGCTGAAAAGCTGGGCGTCGTTACAGGTGGCTCTGTAGATTGCGTTAAGGTCGATGATGAGTCGAGGGCATAAACTAAAGGTTTGTGGTGAGTAAAGACGGTAAAACTTCTGCCCTCTAGAAAAGGACGAAAATGACGGATGATACCAAGTTCGAGCATGTGCTCGAATTCCGCATTAGCGGCTTTTAGCTTATCAGGGGCGAGACGTCGTGGCCGTGAAGAAACCGGTGGGCCACGGGTTCGTATATGGTGCGTAACGCTGGATGCGACCGGAAGAGTAGCGTCAGCTGAGTGGACCAGCTGCGGAAACTGTCGGAACAGATCTAAAAACTGCTTATCAGCTTCGGGCTGAATGTAAATGGGAGTGACAGAAACGCAAGATGTGCGAACTCCACATGTGAAAAGCTGGGTCTTTTGGTCAACGAGTTTGCGATGACGCGCATCGACGAGAAGATCGAAGTGTTGGAGGAAGTCAATACCCAATATAGCAAATGGAACGGCAGCGAT